AAAAAAAAAAAAAAAGCATAAAACAATCCATAGGCCATTTGGGAGCAAAACAGGGTATGATAATAAAAAAGATTCCACATATTCATCACCTACTCTATGCTAGGCACTATGCCAGATATTTATTTTACATATAAGAAAACTAATAATCAAAGAAACTGAATTTGCCAAAGGCCACCCAGCTGCTGCTGACTGTATTCAACACAATTCACCTGTGCGTCCTCTGACTCTGAAGCTTTTCACAAACTCAAGTCCCATACAGACAAGAAACTGTAATTTTGCTACTATGTTTAAACCTCCTTAACTAAAATTTAAATGTTTCCATGATTAATGTATTGAATAAAAGCCAAGCTAAAGAAGACCCACTTCAATTAATACTTGTTCATACTTGTATGAACTGAGCTAAACAAAACAAAAAACAAAACAAAACAAAACAAAACGGACTAGACACGAGTTGAAACCAGGATCAGCAGAACCTAACAGAATGCCTACAGAGGCAGCAGGGGCTTTCCTGTGTCTTCAACACTGCACCCTAGAAATACTGCGCCCTAAAAATTCTAAAATCACTGGAAAAGGACACTCTTAAAGCTTTCTGTAGCAAGCACTTAAAATATAAATTCAGGGGCGCCTGAGCGGCTTGGTCACTTAAGCGTCCCACTTTGGCTTGGGTCATGATCTCACAGCTCCTGAGTTCAAGAACCATGTTGGGCTCTGTGTTTTAGTATGGAGCCTGCTTCGGATCCTCTTTCCCTCTCTGTGCCCCTCTCACACTCGCACTGTCTCTCTCAAGAATGAACATTAAAAAAGGCCCTTCTAGATAACCACGCTGAAAAGACACATTTCACACGTGGCCCACGCCCTCCACTCCTCACAAGAGGAAAGAATGGTAAGAAATGTCAAGAGCAGAAATATCCCTAATCTCCAGGAATTTGCCCCAATAGCCTCTGAAAGTTGAACTGTGTCTGTAGCATACTGTATGAATTTTAATTTTAACTAAGGGTGATGGCTAACAATCACCCTGTTTTAAGACCTAATCAAAAGGAATTCTTACGGACTTGCGACAGTGTAACTAGAAATGTTTTCATTTACTCAACACATTTATTCCTAAATTCAGTAAACATTCTAGGCCAAATAAATGCACTACCGGATATTGTGAAATATATCATAAGTCTTATCACTGGAATTTAAAATTTTGACCATTCATCTTTAAACCGTGTCATTTCTTTTAAAAATAAAAAAAGAGGGGCACCTGGGTGGCGCAGTTAAGCGTCCGACTTCAGCCAGGTCACGATCTCGCGGTCCGTGAGTTCGAGCCCCGCGTCAGGCTCTGGGCTGATGGCTCGGAGCCTGGAGCCTGTTTCCGATTCTGTGTCTCCCTCTCTCTCTGCCCCTCCCCCGTTCATGCTCTGTCTCTCTCTGTCCCAAAAATAAATAAACGTTGAAAAAAAAATTAAAAAAAAAAAGAACAAAAATGAGTCAAAGAAATAAACCTTTATTGCATTCTATTTTACTCAGATAAAATACTGAAATAATAAAAAAGAAAAAATTTGCAGTTTAAAAAGGAAAGAATATCAATTCTGTACTTTTTAAGTACCTGAGTAAAAAAAGCAGCAAATTAACATCAAACTATTATAGGAGGTAAGGGTAACAGACTCATTCTTGCTCCCTCACCTCGTCCTCCCCAACAAAGACACCGACAAGCTTCTAGTGTACAAAATCCCACTTCCTCATTAGAGATAAAACATATCACAAACGTCAGTAAAAAGAAAGAAAACCGACAACCACTATCTAACGTAAGATGCCCTTTAGAAACGGACTAATCCTCGAACCTAGAAACAAAAAGCCACACGTTTTGTGGAGGCCGAATCCCAACCCTAACTGTTTCAAGATTCCTGTCCTTGGTTGTGCAAACACTCACCTAGGCACTGCTGGGAAGGCACTCTGCAGGTGGAATTTTGGTTAGGGATATTACAAGAGCATTAACCTCAATTATCCCAGCGGGCCAATGAATCACTAGGACCCTGAAAAGCCTGCAAAGTCAAGGAGACGCCACAGAGAGAGGCAGGGAGGATGAGGCGGAGGAGAGAGCAGAGGGACATATGGGGAGCCTAAGGAAGCATCAGTCGGCCACTGCTGGCTGTGATGTGGAGGAAGGGCCTCTAACCTGGAGGCGGACTCCAGAGACAGAGAGGAAATGCCGACCTCAATCCTGCAAGGGCACGCGGCTGAATCGTGCAATTCAGTGAGCCTCCCCGTAAGAGCAGAGTGGCCAACGCCTGCACTTAGCCCTGTGGGATCTGCAGCGGAGAACCCAGGCCAGCCGCCGGGCTACTGACCTTCCCTCTAGAGCCGGGAGATACTACATGGACGTTGTTCTAAGCTGCTAATTGGTGGCAATGTGTTACAGAGGCAACAGAAGATGAATATGCATGTCCTTCTGTCCTTCCCCTTGCTCTCCCACACAGCTTCACGAGACAGATGGAGCCGTGGAAGCAAGGTCCCCCCGGATGGGACGCAGGCACGACTAAGGGAAGGGGCTGGGGAGCGGAGGGCTGCGAGGCTCGGAGACTGTCCCCTGGAGAGTCTTCCTGCGGCCGCGGCGCCCTCCGCAAACGCGCCTCCTACCAGCCTCACCATGCAGCACAAACCCTGCTCAGAGCAGCTACTCAAAGCCGAATGTGATCAGAATAACTCAAGTCGGAGTATGTGCATGTGGTGACTGCTATCGTGAAAAAGTAACAGATGTGGCTGGTATACGCGAGCTTGGAGGACTCTAGTGATGTGCCTAAGCTTCTGGGACGGCTCTACTACACCGAAATGGACACCACTTAAAACACAACTGTTTAAGTTACTGCTTTAAAGTTTACACATTATAAAAAGGATTGCTTAAACTTAATAAAAATCTTTCTGTATGAATGATGCTTGAAAAATTACATTTGAAATCAAATCTTTAGAATTTCATTAGAAAGATAAGTGCTTGTCATTCTCTAGCAATTTGAATTTTTAAAACTTATTCATACAATAAAAACTCCAATTTTATATGAAAACTCTATTAATAAAACCATTTGACCAAATACAAAGTCATCTACCCATATACCAGTTTATATAACTTTTGCTTAAAAATAGGCAGAATATGGTTTTAGAAGTGTATTAAACTTACAAAGCATTTGAATATGTGAACACCCGGAGGTTTTTAGTTAATGCTGTTCAGCCTTAAATACCATTTAATCTGGAGGTGAAATAGCACCGCCACAAAGTGTTCCAAAGAGCGGGCACAAGGTCACGCTACAAGGTCAGCAGGAAAGATCTGCTGCGACGCGGTACAAGGACTGGGGGACGGAGGAAAGAACGGACTCTTACCAACTGCTTCGAAAAGTGCCTGGTTTTACTTAAACTCACATCAAGTTATAGAAATACAATAAATATATAGATAAGCCAGAAATATATTAGATAGTGTTGAGTCCCACAAAGAGAATTAAAACAGGCTGATGTGTTGGTACCGATCTGATGGCCCAGAGAGACCTCTCTGGAAAGGCAATATTGTAAGTTAACATCTGAATGACACAAAGGAGCCATGCATTTAAAAAAAAAAAAAAAAAAAAAAAAAAAAGGTGCATCCATCCGATACCTGGAGCTTATCACAAGAAGTGATATATGAAAGTGCTGAATCACCAAATTGTACCCCTGGAACACTGTATGTAAACCATAACAGAATTTTTAAAAAATAACATTTTTTCTTAAAAGGTATTCAAGAGAATAGTAATCTTTACTACTGGAGAACTCGGAACTATTATTCAGGACATTGGAAGGTATCCCTGTATTAAATAAAGTCTCCAAGAAAGCATTAAGAATTAAAAAAAAAAAAAAAAAAAAAGGAGAAAATGCCACAAACAGACGGTGCAAAGGTCCTGAGAATATTCTGCCCACTTAGGCAAAGGGGGAAGCATGAACAATGTAAGATGAGGTCAGAGAAGCAGAGTCTTATAAGCTTATGTAAGGAAGCTGGATTTTATTCTAAGTGTTTTGAGAAGATTTTGGAGATTTTATGCAAAAAGAGAGATAATTTGGTTTGAACTTTTTAAAGGTTACACAGCTTTATGAAAAGAATGGACTGGAAAGGAAGCAAGAGCTAAAGTAGGGAGACTGAGTAAGAAGAGAGCCACTGATGGAACATACATTTATAGCCTCTGTGCTCAGAAGCTGTTTAAGGCAGAGGAACACAACCATAAAATAATTATGTGTGCCCTCACGTGGCTTCTACTCTAGTTGGAGAACAATTAATAAACACATTAATAACAGAATGTCAGAGAGTACTAATAGTTACAGAGCCCTGAGGGAAATCTTTGGTGGAAAAATGCCATTTGAGCAGAGAAGTGGGGAAGACACCGGGGGAGGGGGAGAGCTCCCTTGGAAGAAGGAACAGCAAATGTTCACATCCGTGTGTCGGCGAGCAAAGTCCCCAGCTAGGAGCATCGGCTACACCACCTGACGGGCGCCTACTGCCCGCTGGACACCCC